GTATGACAAGTCGAAAATGGCGGACTGATCTTTGTTGGGGCGGAGCTTCTCCGCCGTCTTCTTCATCGCTGAGAGCAAGCCCTCTTTGTCTCCTCATCTTCTATCTCGCACCATTTATTGTAAGATCAAGATATTCATTTCTGCTTTTATCGTAAATTAGGGTTTATGCACTTTCCCCAAATTCTTTGCCTATCTTCGCTCTAAATTACCATGAATTTTCTCTCAATCTCTCGCCTTTTTTCAACCTGCAAGAAACCCAATTTCCTTCTCTTCTCCACTGCTTCGTCTTCGTCATTAGCTGCTTCACAATTCATGACCCATTTGCAGAAAAACGGACCCAACATAGAGAAATCCCTCAACTTAGTCAAAGCCGAATTGGATGCCCCTTGTGTTACGCGGGTTTTGGAAAGCTTTTCAGTTGAAAACCGCCAAATAGGTCTCAGATTCTTCATATGGGCCGGGGTTCACCCTTCTTACAGGCACTCAACATACATCTATAACAAAGCTTGTAACTTGCTGAGAATTAAGGAAAACCCGAATATCGTTACTGATGCTTTTGAGGCTTATGAGGTGGAGGGATGCGTAGTGAGTGTAAAAATGTTTAGGGTTGTGTTTAATTTGTGTCGAGAGGCTAAAGATGCAGGCTTGGGGTTGTGGGTGTTGAGGAAAATGAAGGATTTTAATTGCAGGCCAGACATGATTGCTTATAATGGAGTGATTAGGTTGCTGTGTGAGAAGGGGGATATAGATGGGGCAATGGGATTGATGAGAGAGATGGGGTTGATTGATCTTTTCCCTGATATGGCCACTTATGTTATGATGATCAAGGGTTTGAGCGAGGTGGGTAGGTTGGAGGAGGCTTGCAGGTTGGTTAAATCGATGAGAGGGCATGGTTGCTTGCCGGGTACGGTGGTGTACTCTGTGCTTCTTGATGGGATTTTGAGGTTTGGAAGTCTGGAAAGGGCGATGGAGTTGTTGGAGGAAATGGAGAAAGAAGGCGGCGATTGTAGACCAAATGTTGTTACCTATACCACTCTGATTCAGGGGTTTGTTGAAAAAGGGTGTTCAGTAGAGGCGATCACTATTCTGGGTCGAATGGAGGGTTTCGGGTGTAAGCCAAATAGAGTATCGATCTCTACTCTGATTCACGGGCTGTGTGTGGATGGTCATGTCGAGGAGGCTCGTAAGGTTGTGAATCGAGTTGCTGGAAACGGTGTTTCTAACGACGAGTGCCACAGTTCTCTCGTGTTGTCACTGTTTCGGACTGGAAAACTCGAGGAAGCAGAGGTCGTTTTTAGGAGGATGCTGGCTGCCGGGCTGAAGCCTGACAGCTTGTCTTCGGGGACGATGATAAAATGGCTGTGCTCAGAGGGAAGGGTGTTTGATGGATATCAACTGATGGATGGAGTTGAGAAAGCAGGATGTATATCTTCAATGGAATCGGATACCTATTCGATTCTGTTGGATGGGCTGTGTCGAGGTAATCATTTGATGGAAGGCGCGAAACTTGCTAACCTAATGATCAAGAAAGGGATTGAGGTGAAATCAGATTATGTTAAAGATATTATCAGACATCTGAAAAGCTCTGGAGAAGAGGAGTTGGTGTCGCGCATTGGTAGGATTCAATGCTGATTGTGGACTGCAATTTTGTTCCAATTTGTTTCTACAAAAGTGTAAATTTTACACTTTTTTTTCCCCAAAACTTGTTTGGTGAGATTTCTGCCAACTTGATCAGGCAGTAGAAAGATTTTGTAGTCTAATTCTTTATAGAAATCTCGAGATTGATGTTCACACGTCTTCAATGCATATAAGCTAATGACAGATGTTAAACTTTGTTATAATCTTAGATAGAGATCATTTAAATTGGGTTATAATGCCCGTTAGTTAAAATCAGTCAGGTTATAATGCCCGTTAGTTAAAATCATACTAAAAAGATTGAATCCAATCAATTATTAAGGGTGTGTTTAAAAAAAATTAAAAAAAAATACTTCTGAAAAATATTTTTTGGAAAATAAATTATTTTTCAAAAAATAGTTTTTAGAATAATTTTTCTTTCCTGTGTGTTTGGTTGTATTTCAGAAAATTGTCTGGTGTTTTTGGTTCATTTTATAGAAAATAAGCAAAATTGTATAACTAAATCACAGCAAAATAATCGAGAACCAGAAATCACAACAAAATCTAGTGTATCTGGTTTCCGAAAGTTTCCGGCTGTGGGTTTTCGTCCCCACAACCGGAAACCATTTTAGATGGCGAGATTTGGAAAGAAACATACCTTGGTGGTAAGAAGATGGCAAGAAGATGAAGAAGCAGCTAGTGTAGCAAGAAGGTGAGAGCAAAGGAGATGTTCTTTGTTGGTAGAGAGAAGGTAGAGAAGTGTGGTCTTGGTAGAGAGAAGGTAGAGAAGTGTGGTCTTGGTAGAGAAAGGTTTAGAAAATGACTTCCCAAAAAAAAGAAAAAATCATTTTCCTAATCTTAGCTATTCTCCATTGATCAAAGCATTGTTTTTCATTGGCTTTATATTTTTCTCTTTGCCAAACACTAAAAACTCGAAAAATAATTTCTAAAAATCATTTTCCAAGTTTCCAGACGCACCCTTAGTCTAACTCATGATGTTATAAACTCATATATTCTCTCTTATGTGAAACTTTTTATAAGAAATCTCACGTTATCATTACCTATAAGATAGGTGTTAGACTCTTCATAAGAAATCTCAAAGGTTAATGTTTCACAAGTCGTTGCATATAAGCAGTGGTTATATGGAACAAATGCTGCATAACTTGATAAGATTTTCTTTGATTTGGCTGAACTTTGCCCAAATACCAGTCTGCAGATCAAGAAATCATTGAGAGTTATTTGGTACTAAAGAGAATAAGAAATTCTACAAGTACGTAGTACGCGCAACGAAAGAATCCTAGTCACTCAGAAAGAATTTGGGCAGTTTTTACAGTCTTGTATACGCAAACATGTTCGGAAACACAATAAATACTATAAGATCTTCAGCATAGTTGTGTTGAAAGTAAACTAATTACATTTGATGACACAACTATTACAAACAACAGGATTCCGACAAGAAATTTTAATGAATTGGAAGCTAAGGGGTGGAGGATAATATCAAAGAAGATCTTTTGCTAGTCTCACTGGTTTTTCATTCAAAAATGCCACATCACTATTTGCACCAGTAATCAGATGGTGGTCAGCCTCGTCATCACTATCTGCTGTTAATGATCCATCAGTATCTGAACCCTCATCTGCAGTTTCAACAATTTTGGAAAAGTAAAGCATATAGGAAACCGAAAGGATTACTGATAACAGGAACACTTTTCTGCGACTCAACACATGTTTGGATCAGTAATAGCACATAAGAAACTGATTGGCATACCAAAGGACCCCTACTCGTGTAGCCATTAGAGTCTTGATATTTTAATTCACAAGAGTATGATTATTCAGTTCAAAGCACTGTTACAAAAATCGGCCTAGGCGCCCCTAGATCGTGGCAATTTCCCCCTAGGCGGTTGCCTAGGGGCCTAACTCAGTCGAGTTGGCGGCGAACTATACCGAGTTAACTCGTTCAATTCGGTTGAGTTAGCCAAGTTAACTCGGCCGACTCGGCCTTCCTAATTTTTTTCATAATATATCTAATCTAATCTAAAAACATAATAAGTCTCAATCAAAGTTATACCCCTCATTTATGTCCATGTTTTTAATACTAATCATTTTGTACATTATGCTTTTAGGGTTGTACTATATAAATTTTTGAACAAAAATACCCCTACCGTTATAACTTCCGTTATCTTTTCCATTATTGCTACCATGCACATGCATCCACCATATATTTTCTTATATTCTTTAATGATAATAATATTTGTAGACATTATATATTTGATTATTATAATAAATAAATTTGATTTCATATACATTTTAATTAGTAGGGATTTGTTAGTTATTTTAAAAGATATAATATTTGGCATATGTTTTTGCGCATCGCGCATAGAAAAGACTAGTATAATATATATATATATATATATATATATATATATATACTTATTTATTTATTTAAATAAGAGAAGTAATATGACAGACACCCACACACGTGCACTGTTTTTTTCTTTTTTTGAGTTAGCTGCCTAGGCGCCCGCCTAGACTGTCTAGGCGCTACTCTACCGCCCGACTAGCGCCTAGCGCGTACTGCAACCATGCTTCAAAGGCATAGGAAACTATAACAACAATGAATATTTACTCCACAAACGAACATTCATTAAAATTTTGCCATAAACATTCATCATGAGACCTAGCGAAAACTACTATGGAACTCATTAGTGAGTTAAGGGTTGTGAATTACACAAGGACTTTCTCTATACAGGTTTCTAGTTATTAAGCTTCAGGAAATCTGGCACAGGATACACAAGCAACTAAACAGATGCCTTAGTTTCTTGTCTATGTATATCTTTATTTTAGATCAGCAGAAGTTAGCTCCAAATCAGTGTGCCCGCTTAGCATATTGGAAGGTAAAAACTTGGAAGTAACAAACAGGGGTCAAAACTAACCTGAACATGTTTGGCGATCAGGGAGACGTCTGACTGCCGCAACTTGAATATTTTCTGGTAACAGACAATTGCAGAATGAGCCTGAAACATCAATTATTGATTGTGTAAGATAATGTATTGAAGCCACTCAGCGCATACTACAATGCATTTGATATCCAAGTTATACGATTCTAATTTCAAAACTCTATAGATATCAGATTACCAATTACATGTCTAAACCAATACAGATTTCAGCTGAATTTAAAACTAAAAGACAGAACAAAATGTTCCAGTTCATAATTGTTTCCTGTATTGAATTTGGGTACCCAATGACAGGCAGACAATGCACCTTAGTGGCTTAGTTAACCCTTCAGTATAAATGTTAAAATGCAGAAGATAGTGTTCATTCTTACCTACACGGGCAAGACGATTAACCCATCCAGGAATTGGCTTTCCAGTGAGATGCATACAGACTTCATTAGAAAAATGATTGCAATTCTTGGCAATTAAATGATAAGAATCCCCATGATACTTATTAGAGAGGCGTTCCATAAAAGACCGAACTTCTGAACGAGACAGCTCTGTGCTACCCAGCAGTATTGACCGCCTAAAAATGAAGCCTGGGCAACTTCGTGGCTCCACCTCAAAAACCCCGCTGGATGGGAAATCATGTGCTCCAAATCCATACTCTAGACCATGTACTGCATTATAGGAGGAGCACAAGTATAACTATAACAACAGATGAATCTAACCATGTAAAATAACAGGAACTCTGGAAAAATCAATATCAAAACTTCACCAAACTAATCACAAATGTAGCATGTGACAAGTACAGATGCTCTCTACACGACTTGAGAAATATGGAAAACAGTAAAGTGGTACTAGCTCTCAGTTTGAAAACAGAAATCTAGGTTCCACTTTAGTGTGAATAATCATGTATCGAAGTAATTGTTCATCAAAGGGATGGTACTAAAGGAGTCCTATTCTTACTTCTTAGTGGGGCAACGATAATCGACTTGGGCTGATTTGAAAAAGCCATCCTGAAACATGTTGCATTATACTTGAAGACATGTTAGTCTACTCTTTAGGTTCTCTCGACACAGAAAAAAGAAAAGATTCTATGCTAGTTTGTATTGAATGATCCATAGATGTTTCTTCAGGAGAGGTGAGGGAAGGTTAGAAGAGAACCAAGGGATAGAGAAAAGCAGAAGTTAAAAGGGAATTTCAAATTTAAGTGGAAGGAAAAATATAGGCCAAAAGTTAGGGGACAAAACAGGCTGAACTATGAGTAGAGATGTAACTGCAATTAGAGCTGGTTACGACTAAGGGGGTCCACTATGCCTTTCACCCTGGATGAGTTATCAGTACTCTGAGGAAATATAAGCTAACTGAAAAAAAAAAAAAAAAAAAAAAAAAAAAAAAAATAGGTTCAAGGTCTCACTGGCTCACAGTGGCATAATCTGAGCCAGTTTTTGGAAGCATGGTTGAGAAAGTTATACTTATATCTACATTTGAGTCTTCTTTAACTGTACATGATTGATGTGCATTTTAATGATTTTTTTCTCTCCAAAATAAACAAAGGTCATCCCATGAAAACATTAATTTTTCTAAAAAAAAAAAAAAAAAAAATTGTTAAGACCAAATAAGACACAAGATGTGACCTTAGTAATGTATAGTTTTAATTCTTAGCAAGGTGGTTAGCTTTAATCTTTCAATCCATTTCTGGATAGATCTATGGAGTACAGATGATGAAAAACAATTAAGACACTAAAAAGGGAAAAACCTTCTAGCACATAATGCATTAAAAATTTGTCTCAGATAGACTATCTTCAACCAAATTGGCATCTTACAAACACCTTTGTCAATAACATGCCTCAAACAAAAGAAGTGACATGGAGAAACAAGAAAAGACCAAAACTTTGAAACCAGTGCATAATACTTCATTTCCCAAGGTAGTCCAGGAACTTTGAATAGCCACCGCAATGACGCATACATCTTATATCAAAACAAAAGAATTGCAAGTACTCTGCATAATAATTAATCAGGCATACTGAAAAAGTACCTTCAATACCAGAATGAAACACGCCGAGTCCAAACCAATACAAGTAGTTGTTTGCAGGTGTGAGATCATAGACATTAAGATATAACAATGCACGGCTTTTCTCAACATTTTTTTGCTGCTCCTTGCTCGGATACAATCGCATTTTATCTATTCCAAACCACCACAGTCCTCAATGCCCCCACTTCTAAGTCCTAAACAACAAAGAATATATTTCTACAACTTGAAGCTCAATTTCCACCAACTGCAGTCAATTGAAACTATAATTAATAATTAATAATTAATATAATAAATAACAACAAAAGCACTCAAAAAAAAAAAAAAAAAAAAAAAAAAAAAACCTTAGTAAATGACCAAAACGCAAAACTCAGTGGAACAAATAAATAAACAAAGCGTTATCGGCATTCACACGAGGCCATAATTACGATCAATTTTAACAAATTATATCATAGTACATTTGCACACTGGATGCAGTTAAACTGGAAAATGTGAAGATCAAGTAAATACGTTGATGAAGATTTAGTTTCTAGTAAAGACAAACAGATGGCTGTGGATGTATAAATCCGCGAGTGTATGTAATCGTGTATGTATGCATTACAACGAGAGGAGAGGGAGAGAGAGGGAGAGATTACGGAGATTTGAGAAGCGGAATTGGGAGAGCAGAGTGGCGTCGCCTTCAGATCGCCGCCGTGATTGGGGTGAGGGTGAGGGTGAGGGTGAGGGTGGGATAGAGAGCGAAATTGGGATTTGCTGGCGACTGGCGTGGGCGTGAAAATTGTTCAGTTGTCACCATGTCGGTTTTCTTTTACGCAACTATTTCCTTTTTTTTTTCTTTTTAATTAAACCATGTCGGTTTTTCATTCAAAAAATAAAATAAAAAAACCATGTCGGTCTTCTTTTTAAGGAAGTATTTCCTCTATTTTTTTATTACACGCGTCGAATTCTAAAAAATTCCAAATAAGCAATTGAACTTTTAAAAAATGATGCAATTAAACATTTTTTACTTACTATAGCTGGTTAATAATAGGTTATAGTTGATTTAGGGGGTGACAGTGGTTCTAGTTCTAAATCGACAGTTTCCAGTTTTATAGTTTCAATTTGAATTGTCGGTTCGAATCAAGTTTTTTTTTTTTTAATAAATTGTATTTCCTATACAAAAATTAATTATTGAAGTTAGAATAGTTTAAGAATATAAAATAGAATTTACCACCCCCCCGCCCCCCAAAGGTTCGAACCAGCAATTCAAATTGGAATTTTCGCTTTGTCATTTTCTGAAATCGGGAACCACCAATTAAGAACTAGAACTGTGGTCACCCTAAATCAGCTATAAGCCTATAATGTGTTGTTAACCTACTATAGAAAGTAAATTTGGTTCAATTGCATCATTCTTTCAAATTCAATGACTTATTTGAAACTTTTTAGAGTTCGATAACTTAATTGCACTTTTCATAAAAATTAAATAACTTATTTTGCATCACTACTACTACTATAAAACATAAAGGGTGAGAAGAACACATGGAATGACTTAAAAGCCCTTCATTTTGACGGTCAATAGAAAAAAAAAAAAAAAAATGTGACAAAAAGTTAAAAATATCCAACCTTTAATAAAAGTGACTAAAATATGACAAAATTTGTTAGTGAACTAAAAATGTACAACCCCGTGTACCAAAAAAAAAAAAAATGTACAACCCATAATAATTAAAAAAGGAATTAATTTGCCAATAACGTTTAGTCTAGTAACATAAAGTGACTCTTGTTAATATTTCAGTAGGTTGAGAAAGTAATTATGAATAGATACTACATTGTAACTAAGTCTACTAAAAAAAAAGAATTAATTTTTTTTTTGGCATCGAAAAGTTGACAATTGATAGTTTGACACAGTACTAGCATTGAATACTTCCTCTACAGCCATTAATATCCTCTTCCTCTTCCTAATCTTCTACATAGTCACCCTTCCTCGAATCTTTCCTGAACAACCACATCCACTCCTACAAGAATAAGATTCAACCATCATCACTGCCACATGTTCATCCTCGTCTTCGCCCCTCTCCAGCTCATATATTTGCAGTCTGGTGAAGAAAAAGGTGGAAGAGGGAGAAGCCGCCTGTCAAGTTTTTCTTCAGCCTGATGTGACATTTCAAATACACTAACTCAGCCTAACAGGTAAAAAACTTGTTTCAAATTTCATAATCATAAATTCACAATTAAACGTACTGTCAAATGACCACTTTTACTTTATCACTAATACATAAAATTCTCCCCTAGGTCCACACAAGACCACTTTTTAACAACTTCCAAATCTATGAGACTAGCACACTAAAAACAAAGCACTCGCCCGACTTCATGCTCCCACAACTTCACTAGTAAAGAAATAAGAAGGTTGTAATTGAAGCTCCAGATCTAGTCAACTTTAACATCTTCCTCGCCTGCATGTGAAAATCCATTTTGTTCACTGTTGATTTTAGAGGCTTCTCGTAACTGGATCAGAAGAATACAAATAGCAAACAGTTAATCAGTTGAAAAATAAACCCTGGAATCAACCTATCAAGACATGATTAACTGTAAAGCAATTTGAATAAGATGAGAGCAAAGACAAAAAACTTGTGTGAGACCTCCGTGAAACGAGTCAAGTCAAGATGAAAATGTAATACTTATTCTGGAAAATGTAATACTAAACAAGAATAAAGTGTTTGTTACTTATAAAGGAAAGTGTAATACTTTCAGTATAAGTATTACATTTCTATCTTGATCCGACCCGTCTCACGGATAAGGATCTGTGAGACGGTCTCAAAAGGAGTGTCACTTGAGAGATAAATAGTCTATCTGAAAACTCATGGATTACATGTCAATGAAATAAGAATAAAACAAGGCAAAAAGATACCTGCTGAAGTACTTTCTTTTGATAGCGGTAGCCCTGTGAGATTAAGGCCAAAAAAATGTAAGAAAAGGTTTGGTCTTACGGCCTATATAAATCGCTGTCGAGAATTGATCCAATATAGATTATTTATAATTTTATATACACACCTTGTCAGTTCCATAGATGTAATCACAATAGGTGAATACTGAAGCAAAATTGCTGTGACTTAGGCCACCAACATAATGATGGTAGTCATGGTGATCTGGACCACCATAAAAAGGAATATATTTTGTGGGAGTCCAAGGAAGGTCATACCTGAGTCAATATTGGCAATTGATGTATGAAGTAAATCTGAAGAACGAAAATATGACCCAAAAAAAAAAGGGCAATTGATTCTTATTCCTATTTTAATAGGAGCCAATGTAGCTTTTGTTAAAATTCCCTATCATTTCCATAATTTTTTTTACTCCAATTCTTAAGGTCAAGCATTCAAGCCAAATACCTTAATACCCCCATAGTTTAAACATAATGACGACACAAAAGCACCAAAATGGCCCAAATGAGTGCAATGATTAACCAGATATTCTCACATGATTTATTCATAACATTGCAACATTAAACCGCTTAAAGTTTGCAGTCGTAACTTTTACATAGATAACCAAACTACCAAAGCAATCAATTACGGAGTATTTTGTATGTTGGATTAATCATTTAATATAAGTTGCTTATTAAGCAAATGATCAACTTATTTACCAAGTTAGGTGAAATCAACAGAACTCAATCATTGCCCACCAGCTCAGATAGACTACATGAACCCTCATTTTCCATTAAGTTCTGTTAAAGACCAAATTCTACAGCAAAAGTCACAACTCATATTCTTCTTTGTTGTTGAGATAGATAATCAACAATCAATCAACTATGTGATATATTTTTAAAATGCCAGGCATAAATTCTTCTTTTAAAAGTGAAATTCCCCTACTTAGATGTGTCTCTCCCTTGGTTGTCTCATTGCCAATTATGTATGCAACATGTTAACATAGAAATTAGGAAGATAAGATAATCTATAGATAATCAAAATGCTAAGTATCCAAAATGTTGCTCCTCTACTGTGCCATTGAATCCAAATTTGTTATTGGTTAAATTACATTATAATTCAATATCAATTCAAAAAATTGCATGAAATAATAAATAGTGCAAAATTTTATTACAAATAAAATAAAAAAAATAAAGGACACAGCATGGTGCATTCAATATGGCTATATGTACACATCAAATAGCATGCAACTATAATAATCAAGAAGTTACTTTTCAAACTATTTCAAGGATATGTTTAGGATAATACTTTTTTATGTTGTCAATGTAGACCCATTGTGCCACATTTCACAAGGAAATTGACTGAAATATGAAGAAAACTAAAGTTATGGACAAAAATAGGAAACATTTGATTTTTGGACACACCTAGGAAAAAAACTTTTGGGAAATGTGTTTTTGGTGTTGACCGGACCATAAATGCATTTCCTAAAAGCTTTTTTTTTTTTTTCTTTTTGTATTAATTTTTTAAAAACTAATTTTTATTTATTTTTGGCCAAATGCATTTGGGAAATGCTTTAGGTGTATACATGCATGTATACATATGCCAAACGCATTTCCCAAATGCGTTTGGTAAAAAATAAATAAATAATTTCAAACCCACATGGGTCAGTCAATCTGCCGGACCAACTGACCACATGGGTTGGCATGGCTACTATACATCATTGCGAAAAGGCCTCTTGAAAGTGCATAAGCCTCTTGAGGAGAACCATTAAGATGAACAGATTTGGCATCATGCCCATATATTTTCTCAGCAAGGATTCCAGCAGTAGGAGCAACGAAAGAAGAGAAGGATTAAGGATATTTCAAATGCACAATCAAAAGCATAAATCATGGTACGGTGTTTTGAAGGCACCACTTTGGCAAACATGGGGCCGTTTGTGGCGGTGGCATTCCAGCTGATGCAAGTCCCATCAAGAATAGGGTTGTAGCAAATGTATAGTAGCTGCTTACAGATTGAGGTCAGTCAGTCCCGCATGTCCACCCATGTGGTCCGTCATTCTAGTAGACTGATCGACCCACACGGGTCAGTCAAATGGCATGACGCATGTGGGTTTGAATTTTATTTTTTATTTATTTTTGGCCAAACGAATTTGGGAAATGCATTTGGCTAAAAATAAATAAAAATTGTCAAACACATTTCGAAAAGGCGTTTGGCATATATACATACACCACACACATTTCCGATTTGCATTTGTGGTATACGTGAATATATCCCAAATGCATTTCGGAAATATGTTTGGGGTATAAGTTTTTAAAAAAAAAAATTAAATACAAAAGGAAAAAAGCTTTTGGGAAATGCGTTTATGGTGCAGTCAACACCAAAAATGCATTTCCCAACAGTTTTTTTTTTTCTAGATTTGTCCAAAAATCAAATATTTCCTATTTTTGTCCATAACTCTAGTTTTCTTCCTATTTCAATCAATTTCCGGCTCTGCAAAATAAACCTTTTAATCCTTCTCTTGATTTGGAAAACAAAGTTGTTTCACTATCCCATCCATACCATTTCACTATACTTACATAAATCCAAATTGAATAAAAACAAACATTACAAAGAAAGGGAAAATAAATGTCACTGTTTGAGGATGATTTGGTCAAACTACCAATAGAAAGAAATAATTAGCAACTCAATCAAGCTAAAACTCAACAAAAAAACAACAAAGGGAGAATTTTTCAGCAATGCTAGTACTGTGTCAATAGTCAAAGCAAAGAAAAAGAGAGAAGATGAATGCATACCCACTGTGCGTCTCAATGGCTTCAATCTGTCTCAGCCCAATCCACAACCAGAATGTAATAATGTGACCTGGGACCATGGCAGGCCCTAGAAAAGACGGGATCCCAAGGATCAAAATCTCCGCCCAGTGTGCATATGGTGCTGCAAATCCTATTGGAGCTGTGTACTCATGGTGAACCTTGTGAATATTCTCATACCCCCATTTGCAATGCATAAACCTGTGAATCCAATAGTTGGTATAGTCCTCTACTAAGAAATACACCATCAATTGGGCCACAATTTCCCATATTGGCGGCAAGGGCAAACTTGTCCTTATCCCAATCATCTACATTACCCAAAAAGAGTCAAGAACTCAATTAAATAGCATACTCTATAAGATTATCAATTATATATTTCCTAGAAGCTGAATTAAAACAAATATAAGTGGAAATACTACTTTGATAGAGGGATACGATACGAGTTGGAGAGGGCCGACGACGAGAATGAACATGCGCATGACTGATTTGTAGCAGCGGAAGGATTCAGAGAGGGTGAGATTGACTTTTGGTTGAAGCTTGTAGGAGCGGATATAGTTCTTCAGGAAAAATTCAAGGAAGTAGTAGTAGAGAGGGACAAAGGAGAATATGAGGAAGAGGAAGAGGATATTGTGGCAGTAGAGGAAGTAGTCAGATTTGGTGGCTGAGTAGTTGAACCAGATTGTCTCCACGCCCGTGAGGGGTCGGCCCAGGGTGGCTTCTGCCTCTTGTATGGTGGCGTACGGCAGCATACTAGATGCAGTTAAGCTGGAAAATGTGAAGATCAAGTAAATATGTTAATGAAAATTCACTTTCTAGTTAAGACAATGGCATATGGCACCATACTAGAAATGTGAAGATCAAGTAAATACATTAATGAAGATTCACTTCCTAGTTAAGACTAGGGGTGTAATCAAGCTGAGCTGAGCCCAAGTAGTCCATGCTAGAAGCTTGGCTTGATTCAAAAAATATAAGCTCGAGATCTACCAAGCTTTGATTTTTTGATTTCGTGCTCGGCTCTACTCTAGCTGGTCAATTTGCAATTTATAATTACAATTAGAAATTAATATATTATAAATAAATCACACAAATTAATTTTGACAAATTTCATAGTGAATATATTGTTATTTTCTAATTGATATGATATTTCTTAATCAATGACTGCAGAATGTGAGAATGTATTACCCTATCCTCTTATTACCAAGCTTGAAAGGAGAATTGATTGGTTGAAATGTATTCTCATATTATGAGAATGTATTCACTGGTTAGACATTTTCACTACCAATTCACATTTCTTAGTGGGAATAAATACATTTTCACTAACAATAACCAATGAACACAGAAGCAGTAAGAGAAAACTATCGGTACCAAAAAATAGATCTCAAGCTAAATATTTCAATTGTATTCAAAGAAGAAGAAAAATGACAAATGAATTTTCATTGCAGCAAAATGGAATTAAATTTCAAGAACAAATACTGGCAGACAGCGACAGCAAACAGTAATCAGATTGAGTAAATCAGAAGAAAAAAAAAAAAAAGGACAAATAAATTTTATAACAGCAAAGTGGAATTAATTTTCAAGTACAAATACTGGTAGACAGCTCGACCGTAAACAGTAGATTTGTGCAAATCAGAAGACAAAAAGGACAAATCAATTTTAATAACAGCAAGATGGGATTAATTTTCAAGCAAAAGTCAAACACAAATACTAGCAAACAGCTCGACAGTAAAATAACAATAAAAGTTACACAAATCAAGCAAAAATTACACAAAATAATTATTTTTTTTTAAACAAAAAAAAAAAAAAACAAAAAACAAAAAAGGCATTACCTGTGTTGAGACTTGCGAGGGTTTAGAGGCGGAACTGTGGCGTTGATGGGGAGATTGGGAGAGAATGCCGCTGATTTCAATGGGGAGATTGGATAAATTGGTAAACGACTATTTATTTACACAAATGTATGAGGTAGAATGCGATGTAGCAGACGGTAGCCGACTAGCTGGCTGTTGGAACGAAGTGGCCGCCGGGCAGAGAGATTTGGTCTGAGGAGAAGCTATGAGTGCAGGCTGCAGCTAGCCAAGGCCAAATTTTCCTGTGGAGAAGATTAAAAGATACATTTTTAACATGGGAAATGGTAGTTCACACGAAAGTGCAATTAATAATAAAATATACGGAGTATATTTCTTGTGCATTTACCCATTGAACTTTATATCAAAGTATAATTAAATTTTCAAACTTTAAAAATAAAAATACTACTTGAACTATAAAAATTTACTTCCACAGCCCTGCTAAGTGTTAAAATTTTATTAGAAGAAAAAAAAGAATATATACAAATCGTAACCCCCTTATATTAAGCAATCAAAGAATACATATCATAACGAGTAAAAAATGAATGTATATAATAGGAATACACATAGAATTACTCATTTTCATTTTAAAAAGTGCAATTAAACACTTGAATTTATCAAAATGAGTTAAATAAGTCACGTTTATAGATAACCTGTAAAATTATCACCGTTGTTGTCACAATTAAATCAATAGTCTGCCGCCGAAAGCGACCAAATGATTGTAGAGAAGGCGACACACGTCACATTCTCCATTGAAAGGCAAGTAGGCAACCCAATGATCGCTTTCTACATAGGGGGGGGCACAGCAAGAACACGAACCACACACGAAACTTGAACGGAGAAAATTGAAAAGCTATGAAACCACACCTTGGAATTTTATTTCACGAGCAGGGTTGCAATAATCGCTAAGTAGGTGAAATCATTAGAAGATTAAAACAAGTTTTCTCAAAATCATATCGAAGAAAACGACGGAAGAGCACGACAAGAACACGGACCATGCACAGAACTTAAACAGAGAGAATCGAAAAGTCAAGAAACCATACCTTGGAATTTCATTTTTACGAGTAGGGTTGCAACAATCGCTAAGTAGGTGGAATCATCATAAGAAAGTTTTCTCAAAATCAAATTAAATCAGATAATACGACAGAAGAGCACAACAAGAACACAGACGACGCAAGAAACTTGAACGAGAGAATCGAAAAGCTAGGAAACCATACCTTGGAATTCCATTTTCACGAACAGGGTTGCAACAATCGCTAAGCATGTGGAATCATCAACAACAACAATGACTTTGATGCTGTTGTTAGCACTCGCCATTTTCAACATTTCAGAGTGATGAAGGCAAGGAGTTTCAGAAGGGATAGTAGTGAGAAGTCAAAGATGTAGGAACAAAGATGAAAGGAGATAAAAGAAATTAGGAAAAAAAATGTCAACTCAACCTCCGTGTAATCAGGTAACTGGATGGGAGGTGTGGATACTGATTGCTAGGTGAAATCGCACACATTTAATTTGTTGAAGGGTGTAATTCGTCTGCATGGCTAGAAGTGACGATACCTAGGGGTGTTATGCACACACAAAAGGAAAAGCAAATATAGTTGTTCTTTCATTGTTACCTGTGTGGTGATAGATGAAATTTGTGTTTTGTGCCATAACTGCGGCAACAATGTAACAATACCTTATGTAAGCAGACATGCCATTGAAGCCCCCGCGTCTAGGTAGTTGTGAACAATGAAAATTGAATAATGTATATTTAATATTCAAAATTCTAGTTTACATATCAAGTATCAATGCAGTGTGGGTACAAGTCTCTGGATGATCCTCTGATTCTTCAATTGGATGCCTTGAACACTCCACCATTGAAGGGCCTCCGGGTTTCAAGTGGCTTGATCTTCAAAGAAGGGCTTGTATATATAGCTTGTTCTTCTTGAAGGGCCTCCGAGTATCAATGCAGTGTGGGTACAAGTCTCTGGATTATCCTCTGATTCTTCAATTGGATGCCTTGAACACTCCACCATTGAAGGGCCTCCCGCCTCTGATTCTTCAATTGGATGCCTTGAACACTCCACCATTGAAGGGCCTCCGGGTTTCAAGTGGCTTGATCTTCAAAGAAGGGCTTGTATATATAGCTTGTTCTTCTTGAAGGGCCTCCGGATTCAAATGGCTTGATCTTCAATTAGAGGTTTGAATTAACATGCATCAACATATGGAGGAGGAGGGGTTTTTACTTTCAGGATCACATTTTTATTGTGATCTCTGAATAAGTTTAAGAGTTCTTTCTATGATTTTTCCTAGGATGTCTACATAGAAATGAAATGCCCTATTTATAGCGGTAGGATAAAGAGTTTTGATAAGCTCAAACTCTTTTGATATTATCTAATTAAACAAATTAGATAATATCAATATTATCCAAAATATTTCAAATATATTCAAATATACTAATATTGATAAATAATCAATATTTATCAAAATTTAAGTGTCAATAGTAGTAACCTCCATAATTCCACGCAAACAAAATGTAAACACGAGGTCGGTGCAGGAAACAAAAAACATCATGCATGCATCCAGTGTTGTTTTGTTTGCTTGCGGGTGTCATGCATAAACCAGAGGTAACTATCCTACCTTAAAAGAAGATTTACGCTTGCAAGTGAATATCTTCTTGATGTAGAGTGGGTTATTGTAGGGATCTGTTTATAGCATGTTACTGTTATAGTGGGGAGAATTCTTGTCACAAGGTTCCTTAGTTAATGTGTGTGTAAGGCTTAGTCTAAGATTGTTAGTTGTGTTGACTACATATTTATACCTTGATCATTGTGTTGTCGTCCAACATTAGATGGGACTGGAAATCGCCGTCGATATGATGATGGAGGCGGCGACGGTCAAAATCCATGGAGCTTCATTTTTTTACACATATCAAGTATGGGTTAGCGTTTCTAGTCACGTAATCAACGATAATGCCTCTCTCCATAGCGTGGAAAACACTGATTGCAGTAGGGTTAGTGGAGAAATCTGGTTTGAGTTCATCATTTTTTAACATACATAAGAAATGGACAAGAGACTATTGAATGTACATTATTTGATAATATACAAAATAATATACCTTCAATACACAAATAATATACATTTAGTATATTAAAAATGTACATTTTATTCATGACTTATGCACTATGTGAACTATGATCCATAGAATAATGATTGATTAGTCAATAAGCAAAATGACAAATTTTACTGTGAACCATGGTTCATGTAGTAATGTGGTCATAAAGTAAGAAAATATCAAAGAGCTGCATCTACTAAAGTTCAATCCCACAACTTCCCACTTAAGAAAGTAACTTGGTGCCATTGAACTGCAAGATCCTTGGCAATTACACTTTAGTTTCATTTGAAAATATTGTTATGTTTTTCAATTTTATTTTCTACACTCAATAGTTTCATTATAGCAATACCAAAATATCATTTTAATTATACTACAATTTCATTTCACAATATACATTATTGTATGAGCTCTATTTTGTTGTTTCATTTTCTCCATACACTAGTTTAATTATAATAGGAATAAGGGTCAAATATGCCCTTGAACTACACATGAAACTACAATTGGGTCATCCAACTCAAACAAATTACAATTAGGTCCCTGAACAAGACAAAACCATACAATTAAATCAAAAGTGGCCTGTTTGACCTGATATCCGCTAATGTGGCAGTCATCAAATTTTTTAAAAAATATATTTTAATATTTTTTTGAAGGGAAAATATGTTTTTATATCTTTTAATAATTTTACATTTAAAAAAAAAACAAAAAAAAAACTCTCAAATTGTAACACCCCACTTTTATATCTCTTAATCACAACTATAATCCAAACATTAACATAAACTAAGTAGAGGAAATAATACTAAAAAGATAACTAGTGGGAATGTCACTGCCACAACCACACCTCCGTGGTGATTGCACAGACTAAGGGATAATACTAGAAATAACATAAATATCTAACTCCCAAAATAAATACTGAAAAACATAAGGGGGGAAAGTCACCCCAAAAGTCTACATCATCAAAACCATAATAACAACCATGAGTCTAAAACCCGAAAGCAAAGTCATCAACATATCTAGAGTTTAGACATCTCAAACTACGAGACTAATCTAACTCGATCTCTTCTCATTGCTGGGCCCACCTGAAAGGGGTTTTGCAAGCAACACATAGACAAATAGGAAAACAACCGTTAGCATGAAGCTAAGTATAACCACACTCAACCATGTAAATCATTATAGATATACTTTGAAAACATTTGATTTCTCTCGTAAACAACAAACTTATCTCTAATCATCTTCAGATCTATCACATACTTTCTAAATGCTTGCAACCTATAATATCAACTAGCATGCGTATAAACATATAAGACTAAACACTTAGATACTTCAACGTATAAACACTTCAATTACATTAACAAGCAACTCATGCTTACAAGTAGGATCATACTACTAAACCATATAACAGGTATTTTTATGCTCTCACATTCTCATAACATAAACTTGATATACAAGGCTTCAAATATAACAAAATAATCATGCTCGATGAACAATATTAAATCAACATTCTCATTATGTAATCTCATGCGATATTCTACTCAAATGCAATCTAGTGCAATACTATATATATATATATATATATATATATATATATATATATATATATATATATATATATATATATACTCATATGCAATCTCGTGCGATACTATAATCATACTCATATTCAATCTCGTGTGGTACTATAATCATACTCATATGCAATCTCGTGCGATACTATAATCATACTCATATGCAATCTTGTGCAGTTCTATATTCATATGCAATCTCGTGCAATACTATATATATATATATATATATATATATATATATATATATATATACTCATACACTCTTTATAAAAATATAGTACTTTCTGTGGAGGTCTCTTTCTTTATTTCTTTCTTACTTTTGAGTCTCTCTTGACTCGCTTTCTTTCTCTTGAGTCTCTCTTTACTCATTTTCTTTCTCTTGAGTATCTCTTGACTCACTTTCTTTCTCTTGAGTCTCTCTTGACTCGCTTTCTTTCTTTTGAGTCTCTCTTGACTCGCTTTCTTTTCTTCTCGCTCGTAGACGACTCAGGGTTTCACCGTAGCGTGAATTGCCCCATCGGGAACGGTGTAAGTCCGACCCAATATCTCCTACCGTCTACGGAACCAATCTCGTGGTTCTCGTGCTGTGGAATCAGGTATCGAACTTTAAGTGTGCACACCCCCTAACCAGGATTCCAAG